ATTAAAAAACTAAATTAATGAATCCCACGGGAACCATAACTATTTCCGGGATAAAAAGTAGCCTATATGTTTATCCAGACCATTCTCTACATCCATACCAAATTTCATCGAAATCCGTTCAGCCGTTTAAGCTACGAACTCAAACAAACATCCATCCATCTAAACTATCGCATTTATAATATTATTAAGTAATACCTCAGTAATTTTGTACTAATGTTTGCATACTATACGATGGGCAAACTGAACAGCGGAAGCTAGTCAGTTTGTCGTCTACATTTTGAGCAAGATCTTTTATAGGTTGTAGAGATTTTACTAATTTTATAAAAGTAAAAGTTTAGATAAATGTTTGTTAGAGCTTGTAACCTAAATAGCTAAACGGATCTTAATGAAATTTGGCATAGTTATAGAGAACAGTCTGGAAGAACACATAGGCTGCTTACTTTTATCTTTTAATTCCAGGCGGACGGAGTCGAGGGTGAAAGCTAGTACTCTATATGATTAAATCTAGTATTACACTGTATACTTAAAATTAATCGCAACTTTTGTTATTAAATAGTAACCAGCAGCCATATCAAGAATCAAAATGCACAATCAAATGGCAAAACTTTAGGTTGACCGTAACAATTAATTTAGACCGGACACTGCTATTAGATGATATGATCCCATCGTAATGTTAAACGTGCTACGTATTAGAAATAATTACAAGAAGGTCAATAGCGTGAAAGATAATGAGGCAAGAAGTCGGATATACGCACTATAGTCCCAAACCGCTGTGAAACATTTTTATTCTATGTGTTATAAATAACTAGCTGTTGCTTCTGACTTCGTCCGCGTGAAAAAAATGTAGCCTTTGTTACTCACGGATAAATTACCTTTCTAACGGTGAAAGAATTTTTAAAATCGACCCAGTAGTTTTTGAGTTATAAATACAAATATACATTTCTTTCCTTTTTATAATATTAGTACAGGCTAGTATAGATAACATACAAGACCAAAATCAGAATCGTATTAAGTAACAAATACAACAATATTTAAGATATTGAGAAAAAAATTATTTAGATTATACATTTAAAAATTATTTCTCCAAATTTTTACGACTGTCTATTCGTATTATTTTAATTTTATAGTCCTCCTATCGTTAAGCAACCTTTGCTTACTTGGTTTAATTTTGAACAATTACATGTTCAACGATACTTGTGATAAACGCGGCGTTTGTTGCGTATAGTGCGTATTCCAAGAAGGGACATAAAGATGTTGTCAGAAGGGGCGCGGGTCATCCGCCTGGCATCTTCTAATTGAATCCCTTAAGTTTGATCAGTCGGGATGCGTTACGTTTATTGCCGTGCTCTTATCGCCAGGATCTGTTTGGATTTTATACTGTAATTCTTGATTAAACATGTAAAAATGTTACTTACTTGTCTTTTATCATGATCTTACTAATATTATGCGAAATTTTAGATGGATGGATAGATGTTTGTTTGAGTTTGTAGCCTGAACTGCTGAACGAATGTCGATGACATTTGGCATATATGTAGAGGATAGTCTGGAAGAACATAGAGGTCACTAACTTTTGTTTTTGTTTTTAATTTCACGAGGACGGAATTGCGGGTGAAATCTAGTCTTCTATAAATGCGGTACTTAAAAGAAATAACAAAAAACTAACTGAACGGAAACTGACCTATAATAATTCCGAGTATAATCAATTACTATAAATTTTGCTTAAGATTGTAAGTACAATATTAGAAAATCTAACCAGAATATTTTCAACAGATATACTTACAACAAAGAAGAGTCTAACTTGAATAAATGTTGATGTCAATTTAGAAGCCAGAATACATTACAAATAAACCAACAACAAATGCCAAAGAATTTAAACCATTCAAAATACAAGAAAAGGGATACTACATTAGATAACTGCACACGTCAGACTTTGCAATTAATGCACGCAGGTGCGTCGTCGAAGGAATGAAAACAAATCAGACGCAATAGACATTTGGGTGAGGAATTGCATCCTCCACGTTACACTAGAATAGAATACATTATTAACAAGCTAAAATAACCCTTAAACAACATTCATTACAACTTAAATTCGCTTATAAACGAATGCTCTTTACGACATACCAACCTAACCTTTACAAATTTATTTAATAAACGAAAATGTATTCCAATATAAATAGATAAGGTCTGAAGTGATTTAGCAAATTTAATGTAGTTGAGTCTATTTTAGATTGAACGGTTATTTGGAACGAGTAACGCGAAACATCCGGCTCGAAGGACCAACTAATTGGATCGGTCACGCAAATTCCTGCGCACGCGTCTGCCTTTGAGTCTCGCGCGCATTCCGCAATGTACTATGGTTAATTAGTATAAGGATTGATTAATTAGTTAGTTTCCTTAGCGATTTGTTGCGGACGATGTTAGAGCCGCTATCAAAGGAGGTAATGAAAGGCGCCTGTCACTTATATTGCTTGAGATAATTGTGTTTACTGATGTGCGTTTAAATTTAATTTAATCGCAATTAAATGTTCCCAATGGGAAACATTAAAATAAAAGATGCACAGTGAAATGTTATTTTTTTTAGTATTATATATACACCAGCGCTTGACCACGACCCCTCCTAAGTGAAGATGTGATCGAAGGATGGTACGCGCTACCTCAGTAAATACCGATTCACAATGCTTTTGAAGGCACGTTTTAACTGGACGGGAACACTGACGTCGGCAACTTATTCCATTCTTATTCTCGTCTAAATTACCACATTTGTACTCATTAAAAATTAACAAATTACTTTGTTATTAGACACATTATTCCTAAAACACGTACTAAACAACGTTTCAGTCAGTATATAATCTATGCATACGTGCTCCACCTACAAACGACTTTAATCTCAGAACTGGTTAATCTTCCGCTAAACTCGCGATACGCGACATTCCGGATGGGAATCCTCAACTTTCCGCCATATATCGTAGCGAAGCTCAGTTTCAACTTACTTTGCGGGACTCAAATACTTCGTGGATTTACGTTGTTGTGAAACGATAATTAAGGTATTTGGATGAATAATGTGGCTAAAATACTTTGAGAAAGTAATACGAAGAGCTTGCACACTTGTTACTAAACTATTGCACATCTGTTTAGTCTCATACGACGCATACGACTCGATTTTTAGTTGTGCAACTAAACAGTTGATTGCCTGTGAAACAATCGACAATCGGCAACAGTTGTGTGATTGTCGATTGTTTATTCAAAGCTCACTTTCGATGGTAAAAATGGAATTATTTATAGGTTAAATTAGCTAGTTTGTAAACGTAATAAGTGTCCAGTCAGACACTCGACGGCATTTCAGTCTTGAGGCTTGAGGTATTTATTTGTTGAAATGTCAAAATGTCTAGTTCCTAGAACTTGTTTCTTCAAGGCTTTAACTATCCCTTTTAGTAAAGTTTCTAAAATTCCTTAAAACAAACAATACAACATTTCCACAAATGCAAGTAAATAAGTGAAGTAACAACTCGTAGTGTCCGAGCTGAAACTCAAACAAAGTCGCGGGCAGTGGCTTGTTTGCCGAGACAGACCCCGGGGGCGGCCCTACCCTGTGGCTACCACCCCGCGGTATCGAGTTTCAGAAACTGTTAGTTACTAAAACTGATTATATGTAACTGAAAACTTTCTACCACATAAATATCAACTCGACGTCATCGACAAAAAATGTATTTGTGTACCTACCGAGTGTAAAGTATACCAAAAAATCTCGTACAATTTTTGTCGATTGCGTTACGAACACGTTATCAGAACTATCGTACAAGTATTCGTGATAGACCCTTTGGACTGGAACATACGCAATTCTTTTTCTTATAAGTCAATTCCCGTAATTAGTTCGTTAATCAATTTTAGTAAGGCATTTAGACTATTCAGAAAACCTTGTCATATTTATAGTATTCAATATTTTCGATTCATAATTGTATGTATAATGTAACGTTGGTATAAAAAAATTCTATGCTGTAAAGTAACAAAGTTAAAAGGTTTAACAAATAAAAAAGGGCAGTAAAAATTAACGGTGTTCCAAATTGTTTTGCGCCGCTCTGGTCCAATATTGTCCGGAGCGGAAATTATTTTGTAAATTCCCTATCGCGTTGTTCAAAACGATCAATATGTAATCATTTGTTAAAAACAAGTCGAATAAGAGATTAATCATCGGAAACATTGTCGTTTAAAAACATTCTTTTATGGGTGCTTTGCAGAATTTTTCTACTTTCAAATCATTTTACAACCATTTTCCATTACAATTCTCACAGATGAAAAGTTCTTTGCAATCTTACCAATATTATAAATCAGCATGATAGTTTAGAGCGATGGATGTTTGTTTGAGTTTGTAGCCAAAACTGCTGAACGGATCTAGATGGCATAGATGTAGAGCATAGTCTGGAAGAACACATAGGCTGCTTTTGTACTTTTTAATTCCACACGGACGGAGTCGCAGGCGAAAGCTAGTTAGTAATAATTAAAGAAGTCAATACAGGTAACCATAGCAACATGATATCAAGAAGCTCCGTACGTAATTGTTTCAATTTGAGAGGTAATATTTAACAATGGGGGAGATAGATAATCCGCCCTTCAGATTTGAAGAGTCAAATGATTTTCAATCTACCCAATCCTTTCAGCTGTGATTAAAATGGAGTCATACAAATCAAATAAAGACAAATTGAGTTTCAGATTTAGACAAAATTACATAGAGAAATAATTTAAATTTCTAAACAATCGAACACATTGAGTTCTATTCTAGTCAAAAATTAAGATATAATTTTAGTCACACTTTTGACAGCAGAAGAATGAAGAAGACAAATAAATTTCGGTCAAAATATCTCGACTGCCCTTTGAGTTAATAGCTCTTTAACTATAATCTAAACACTTACTTAAAACAAACATTGACAGCTTACGTAAATATTAGACGTGTCCTTTGATATTTTTATTTGAATATCACAAATTATTGTCTTTTAGAGACTTACCTTGATTAATTTGTTCTGCAATTTAGTGACGGTCATACGTTCACGCTGCGTGCGACGCTTTTCCTCTTCCAACTGAGCCTCTAACTGCTTTATTCGTTTCTCCAGAAGTTCCTGCAACAAAACACTGTGTTAAACTGCGTCACAATATAATTGCTGATATCTATCTATAGACACCATAGAGAGAACTCTACAAAAAGACTTCATTATATTATCTTACTAATATTATAAGTACGAAAGCTGAGATATATATCCATAACAACCAAATGAATTTAAATGAAATTTGGCACATATGTAGTACACAATCTCCAAGAACACATAGGCTACTAAGTTTTTAAAAAGCGGGACGGAATTCCGGATAATAGCAGGTGATAATGTTCTAGAAGCTAAAAAAGAACACAGCATTAAAACCGCATCACCATTCAATCGAAGTAACAGTGAAAATTGTTCAACATTGTTACAAAGGAGACCAGGTAAGTGGAGGGCGTAAGTAAACAGTTCTCCAATTCAACTCTGTTTAAAGTTTACATTGTCGGGATCGCACAAAGCTAACCGGATGTGACGTTTATACGGTGTCATTAGCCGGATGTGCTATCCGCCCTGGTACAGCCTTGGGGTAATTTTTAACGCTTCAGCGCGAAAGCCTTCAAAGTTTGTAAAGTAATAAATCTATTTAATTATTGTTTGACAAAAGCAGTAGATGACTATTTTATATTTTGAGAAACAAATATTTTAGCTATAAGACTATAATACTGAAAACATTGTAGATTAGGGTCACAAAATTGTGAATATTATTATGATTCCGACATTCAATGAGTCACATAAATAATTTACGGAACCTTTCCACCAGTACATTCACAAAGGGCGTCGTTTCCGAGTGACATCTCGAGAACAATGACTAAAATATAACTGACAACTCCTAGTACATCCAAGACAGACAAAAATGACCCATATTCCGTTACTTTAAGCATAATGTTAACCGCAATTCTAATAATTGTAATTCAACATGATTAAAGGCAAAGGGAAGTAAAGCAATTTACGTTGGGATACATAAATATTTTGTATATTTTTAACGCACGTGACAGTTACTGTGTTAATACATATGCCAGTATAATGGAATAATAGCTTGCATGACAGTGCACCAATCAGTCTGAAGCCCTCTCAATTTTATTTCAACTTGATGTCCATAGCTGTCAAAATCTTCGTGTAAATACGGTGTAGTAATGTCCGTTACTACGCCAGTGTTTTCAAATGGCTGTAACTGATACAACTTGCATGCAAGTATGCCAGCTACTGTATTAACTATAAAACTAGTGCCTCTGAACCGTAAAATATGATAAAGGGAAGTGCGAATACACATTCTATATCAATTTCCAATAACGGTTGCCATTAATTTTGCGATATTTCCACAACATTTCACTCCCTTCTTACGCGTGGAAACACTGTTATTTATTGTAGCGCATGCGCTCTTCAGGATAACTAGTACCTTATTTATACTTATTTAAAGCCGGTTTCCTACTTATATTTAAGCATTCCTTGGTGTTTGGATTCTTTGTAAAATACGGTGAAACTTAGGTTAACGTAACAGTAACGAATGGCTTGGTAACGAATACATCAATAGCACAATTTGAAATATTGCATGCAAAACTAGCTTTCGCATGTGACTACGTCCGCGCGCAATTAAAGAAAAAACTTAGTAAGTAGCGTGTGTACTTGCAGACTATGTTCTACATCAATGCCAAATTTTATCGAGATCCTTTCAGTAGTTAAGGCTACAAACATCCATCCAAGCTTTCGCATTTATTACATTAGGCAGTTTAGTAAGATCTATACAAAATTAATTTTAATTACTTAAGAGACGCCGTTTCGTTTAAAGATATATCATTTTTATTATTTCGTTTACGAATTAAGATTTCCCTGTCGACCTTTAAATTTTCCCGTATATAAAAATCTATTGGAATCATTAAATGCGGAATTCTTTCAAATGTTACAACATAAACATGCTAAGTATGCCCGCCCAGCAAGCTATGTAGTTCTGAATCATTTTTCACGCACACGATAAATTCATCCCCCGGCCGCGTCGCCGTGTCGGGATGTCAACTCGAGAGAATTGCTTCATTCTGTGTTCGTACACACTAATATACTAACAATTTAATTTAATACAATAGCGTTTGCCTGTGACTCCGTTCGCGTGGAATTAAAAAAGAAGTAAGTAGTCTATGTCTTTTTCACGACTATCATCAACATCTATACCAAATTTCATCGAGATCCGTTCAGCCGTTTAGGCTACAAACTCTAACAAACATCCATCCATCTAAACTTTCGCATTTATAATATTAGTAACATTGATCATAGATTACTAGGAACTTACACAATCCACAGAAAAATCAACTAAAATCATACGTGTCGTAAAGATACGCATAATTATCGTAAACATAGAGTAAACAATCAAATACTCCATATGTGTACGAGCTTCTGATGAATCCCAATGCTTTTATTTCCTTCCCGCAAACGTAAAAGTGTCCCATTGTGCCGGGTATCGGGGGCTCGTCCTCGCCTTTGCATCCATTTGTCTACGAACAATGCCTATATTCTATTGTTTAATGGTATTTTGGGACTGACGTCACAGTTAGACCCTCCTAAACCTTTCATCTATCAAGATATTAATAAGCTAACCCGTGATTATTGCATTACTATGTTAGCATTAAAATTAATTAATCATAGATATCTTTGTTTTGGTCATGATTATTGTAATCAAATTCTCTCCTACTTCTACTGTTATGCGTCAGTGTTGCTTAACTAAAACTGTCGTGGTTTTTACTAATATAATGTTCGTAAGATACGGGTTTCTTAACACGATTGAATTGTTTTAGCCCTCGATATTTCGGCACAGTTGCATGCACCATATTCACGGGCTGACTGAAGTGATGCGGTAGTGTGAATTTTTTTTTGTGCCGAAATATCGGGAGCTAAAACAATTCAATCGTGGTAAGAAACCTGTATCTTACGAACATTATATTAGTGTTGCTTAAGTTAGTTCAGATAACCTCGTAAATGATACCATAACATGATTTTCTTCCTGTTAAGTATTTACCTATTTCTTCATTGTATTATTGTATTATTTTATTAGTGTACCTAATTCTTTATTGTATCATTTTTCTAACGAAGATTCAAAAATAAAGCATATTTTTTATCAAACATCATCACCAGCTCATTATATGTCCCCACCGAGGGGCTCGGAACCTACTCTAATAAGGAGTGACTAGCCCATAGTCAAACCACACTAGCTCACTGCAGGTTGGTTGACTTCACACATATCTTTGAATTTCTTGACCGTAAGAACGTCAGGTAAATTATGTATATATGAAATTTGAATAATTTAAAATAACACTGGTATATGCCGGGATTCGAACCCAAAGACCTGTAAATTGCAAGTCAAATGCTCAGATCCCTGAGCCACGGACGTCATTGTATAGTAGTCTTTAGATAATAAATAAGAGCTTTAAGCGATTAATCTTAGTAATCATACAAATTCTTATCAATGCGTTAGCTCAAAACGTTTATATGTCTGTCGTAGTGAACAAAAATATGTCGTTAATTAATCCGTGACCCGCGTCAGTGTAAGAGCTCTCGATCTCCAATGAATTGTTGACAACGGCCACGGCGTTACAACCGCACTCGATTCCCGGCCGGCCCGAGACAATGACGCGAGATTAACCCGAACGAATTAAACTGAACCCCGTGAAACCTTAGAGAAGTTAGCCTGTGGTACAATATTCACATAGAACGAATAAAAAAATACAGTTAACATCTTACTCTACTATCTTCTGCTGCGATTATGTATGGAGTTGTAATTTATGACATTCTAGGACAATAAGGTTTTAATACTAATTGTCATAAAAAAAAATCATTTGATCACATTTTTGTAGTCCTAATAAACAAGAATTGAAGACAAATGATTATTAGACAATATTGTCACCTTTATGTAAAATCCGAAGATTTGACAGAATTCTGCGGAATATTACAAACGAGCTGTTGCCCGCGACTTCGTCCGCGTGGTATTAAAGAACATACAAACTATATAAATTACAAAAAGTTACGTATCCCTCGGGAACCGGTCATTTTTGGGGGGTGAAGCTTATCCCATGTCTTTGTTTTACATCTGTGCCAAATTTTAATATGATATGTTGAACCGTTGCAGAATGATCGAGTAAACGTAAATGAATCCCACGGGAACCGTAACTATTACCGGGTTAAAAAGTAGCCTATGGGTTCTTCCAGACTATGCTGTAAACCTGTGCCAAATTTCATAGAGATCCGTTTAGCCGTTTAGGCTACAAACGCTCACAAACATCCATCCATCCATCCATCCATCCATCCATCCATCTAAACTTTCGCATTTATAATACTAGTAAGACTAGTAAGATTAGTATTAAAAAAATTATAACTATTGACTGTTGCACCACGCAAAATCGCTCTCGCTATCGCTTATACCTTGTACGATTCAAAATTTCAAGTCACCCTCTTTCATCCATCATTAGCGGACAATGGCTAATCTAACGTGCGGGGCACTTCATCACAGTCCCGGACTTCGGGACGTTAATTAACGCGCAAGATTACAATGACGGCCAGTCAGGTACCCGGCAGCCATACAAACTGGCAGATATACAACTGTTAAACATCTATATCATATTAGCCGTCGTCCACGACTCCGTCCGCGTGGAAATAAATAAAAAACTAATATGAGTAACCTATGTGTCTCCCAGACTATCCTCTACAACTATGCCAAATTTCATCGAGATCCGTTTACCGTTTATACTACTAACTCTAACAAACATCCATCAACGCATCTAAAATTGCGAATGTTTATGAGCAGCGGTCGCTTTCCATTTCGGTGGATTCAGGTGGCCGCTTGCTCGTTTGCCACCTTATATTATAAAAAAATAACAAACAACCTTCTAAACTTTTGCATTTATGATATTTAGTTAGAATAATTTCAACCATAAAGTTGGTAGAGTTTATGCTATGAATTTTGGGTGAAAAAATTATTCAATCGAACTGCTTGCATTTAGTTTTCCAACTCTACATAGGTTGATATTTATAAAGGTTATTAC